CTTTTGGCCCAATCCTCCAATTTGTCTAGGTCTTTCTGTATCCTATCCCTCCCCTCCAGCGTATCTACCACTCCTCCCAGTTTAGTATCATCCGCAAATTTGCTGAGAGTGCAATCCACACCATCCTCCAGATCATTTATGAAGATATTGAACAAAACCGGCCCCAGGACCGACCCTTGGGGTACTCCACTTGATACCGGCTGCCAACTAGATATGGAGCCATTGATCACTACCCGTTGAGCCCGACAATCTAGTCAGCTTTCTACCCACCTTGTAGTGCATTCATCCAGCCCATACTTCCTTAACTTGCTGACAAGAATACTGTGGGAGACTGTGTCAAAAGCTTTGCTAAAGTCAAGAAACAATACATCCACTGCTTTCCCTTCATCCACAGAACCAGTAATCTCATCATAAAAGGCGATTAGATTAGTCAGGCATGACCTTCCCTTGGTGAATCCATGCTGGCTGTTCCTGATCACTTTCCTCTCATGCAAGTGCTTCAGGATTGATTCTTTGAGGACCTGCTCCATGATTTTTCCATGATTTTTCAACTTGTTTGTCTGAGCGATTGGCTGAACAAGAAGTAGGACTGAGTGGACTTGTAGGCTCTAAAGTTTTACATTGTTTTGTTTCTGAGTGCAGTTATGTAAAAAAAAAATTCTACACTTGTAAGTTGCACTTTCACGATAAAGGGACTGCACTATAGTACTTGTATGCAGTGAATTTAATACTGTTTCTTCATATTTTTACAATGTAAATATTTGTAATAAAAATAAGATAAAGTGAGCACTGTGCACTTTGTATTCTGTGTTGTGTTGTAATTGAAATCAATATATTTGAAAATGTAGAAAAATATCTAAAAATACTTATAATAAATTTAAATTGGTATTCTATTATTGTTTAACAGTGGATTAAAACTGATAAATTATGACTTTTTAAATCTAGTTAATATCTTTTGCATTAATTACATAAATTAAGTGTGATTAATTGACAGCAGGAAACACATTAAAGAGCCGCTTGTGGCTGGTGAGCCTCAGTCTATTGCTGGTCTGACAGGAGCATCCCCATCCATCAGAATGTATATCCAGCCGGTGCTTCATTTGTGCCAGGGCTGAGCCCCCACACCTCTAGGGTTGGCAGTTCATGGCCCTGGCAGCTCTGAGCTCCTGGCCAGCAGCCACAGCTCTCCAGCCACCCAGCTCTGAAGGCAGTGCCGCCAGGGCCAGCCATAGGGGAAATGGTGAACTGGATGTATTTTGGTGGCCCTGGTCCCGGAGGGTTCTCTGGGCTTCCCCCATCCCCTCTGGGCCCCTCTGCCTCCCCTCAGTGCTTAATTTGTCATGAAAGAGCCCTGGCAAGCCCCAGCATAAATTAAGCACTGCACAAGGCACCTGCAGTAGAGAATCCAGTGAGGAGGTTTGTGTCAGGCAGGGACCCACAGCCAGCCAGCTTGTCTCTGGTGCAGTCTTCGTCAGCAGGACTCCTGGAGAGCTGCTGGCAAAATAAAAAGCTGCTGCCCTAAAAAGAATCCCCGAGGGAGGGTGGCAGTGAATGCCTCTGGGTAGGGTGACCCTATTTCCCTAAGCTGGTAAAATTACTCGTTCAGGCGAGTTCAAGGGCAATCAGTCAGAACTATGCAGTACAAACGGTCAAATTAACAGCAAGTTGACTGAGCCCCTGTTAAAAGAAATACTGTGTCAGGTAGGCAAACTTTTTGGCCAAGGGCCACACTGGGGTTGCCAAACTGTATGGAGGGCTGGGTAGGGAAGGCTGTGACCCCCAAACAGACTGCCCCCCCATCCGTCCCCTCCCACTTCCTGCCCCCTAACTGCCCCCCTCAAAACCCCGACCCATCCAACACTCCCTGTCCCCTGATCGCCCCCTCTTGGGACTCCCCTGCCCCTAACCACCCCCCTGGGACCCCACTCCCTATCCAACCCCCCTGCTCTCTGTCCCCTGACTGCCCCCCCGAACCTCTGCCCCATCCAACCGCCCCCAGTCCCCTGACTGCCTCCCGGGACCCTCTGCCCCTTATCCACCCCCCGTGCCCCCTTACCGGCTGGAGCCAGCCATGCTGCCCTGCAGGAGCTCATAGCCGTGCCACCCAGAGCATTGCAGCGGAGGTGCAGTGAGCTGAGGCTGCGGGGAGGGGGGACAGCAGGGGAGGGACTGGGGGCTAGCCTCCCCGGCCAGGAGCTCCAGGGCTGGGCAGAAGGGTCCCGCAGGCCGGATGTGGCCCGTGGGCCATAGTTTGCCCACCTCTGTACTATGTAGTTGGATTCTTTTTATTTGCCATCTTAACTTTAAGGCTTTAGGGTTCACACGGGGAGAGGTGACGCACACACTCCCGTATACCTCTTTCACACAGGAGGCATTGTGCACCAGGGCCCAGGGAACCTTCAGCGAACCCAGCCAGAGAGGTGGCTCAGCGGGGGGGCTAGGGGATGCAGCAGCCCCGAGGACCCTGGGGGCAGGACCCGGGACGGGGGGGTTGGTGAAGAGGGTGCTAAGCCCCTGCCTGGGGGGGCTGCTATGGAGGGTCAGGAGGTGAACATGCTGGAAATCACTCCCCGCCCCCCCGCCACTCCACAGCTTTGCGGTGCAGGCTTGGCACATGCAGGTGCAGGCTTGGCACATGCAGGGCTTCGCTCCACCTTGCCAGCGCCCGAGGCCGGAGGGTCTTGGGCTTTCCCAGCGTGCCAGCCTAGCCCGAGACAGTGGGGGAAGGAAGGAGCCGGCCGGCTAGGATGTTGGTGAGCTGAGTGCGCCGTTCTCCGCACAGTGCTGGGAGCGGGACACGCCCTTCCGAGGGGGATAAACATTCCCATTTTACAGTCCCTTCTGTGTTCAGCTCTTAGCTAAATTGTTCCCCTTAAGAATCTGATGGGTGGTGTTAGCTCCAGACTATTTTCCATTCTTTTAATTTTTAATTAAATGTTTATTGAAGACTTAGATGTCAGGCTACGTGGAGTGGCTCATGACTGTGAGTGCCGACCTCAGCGCAGACTGTCAGAAAACAGGGAGACAGGCTAAGCTGATGGTGTGTTCTGTAATTAGATTTCACGAAGCCGGTAACAAATGTGAACTCCTGGATCGCTGTACCACTCTTACCATGGAGTCACAGACACTCCCCCTAGATTTTCCAGTCTATCTTGCCACACAGACAAACTGGACTTTGTGATAAAAGGTCACTTAAAAAATCACACCACATCAGGTTGCTCCCAGTCCCAAGAGACCAGTCACTTACCCCAAATCAGTTGGTTCTCTAGACCTTACACCAAAGACAATGTTGGCAGCCTATTTTATAGAAAACTAGCTCAAGGTTTATTAGCTAAGAAAAGGAAGTGAGAGCTATTGAAAGGTTAAAGCAGGTAAAATGTGTGCACAGGTGAGTCATAGTTTGTAATTCCAGATGATGGCAGTGATGAAATAAATTTACATAAACTTAGCTTAGAATCGTATAGGTTAGCAACCACTTAGCAAGTTCTATGTTAGCTAAAAATAAAAGAAATAATAAAAATATATAAAGAATGCAAAACCCTGCATAAAGGGTATACATTTTGGACTTGGACATACATTGTCTGCTGTTACACAGTCTTTACAAAACTAATCATTTGGTTGATTAGGCTAATCAATATTGCAGCAGTTGATTCCAGTGCTTAGTCGGAAGAAATGCTCTTTATTAGAAATTATTTTGTAGGTTGGTTCTTCCTGCAGGGGTGCTGGAACAATTTGTATAATGGGGGTGCTGAGAGCCATTGAACCAAACTTGGTGAAGCCACATAGAATATCAGGGTTGGAAGAGACCTCAAGAGGTCACCTAGTCCAACCCCCTGCTCAAAGCAGGACCAATCCCCAATTTTTGCCCCAGATCCCTAAATGGCCCCCTCAAGGATTGAACTCACAACGCTGGGTTTAGCAGGCCAATGCTCAAACCACTGAGCTATCCCTACCCCACATCTGGAGTATTGCATCCAGTTTTGGGCCCCCCACTACAGAAAGGATGTGGACAAATTGGAGAGAGTCCAGTGAAGGGCAACTAAAATGATTAGGGAGCTGGGGCACAAGACTTACAAGGAGAGGCTGACGGAACTGGGGTTATTTAGTCTTCAGAAGAGAAGAGCGAGGGGGGATTTGATAGCAGCCTTCAACTATCTGAAAGGGGGTTCCAAAGAGGATGGAGCTCGGCTGTTCTCAATGGTGGCAGATGACTGAACAAGGAGCAATGGTCTCAAGTTGCAGTGGAGGAGGTCTAGGTTAGATATCAGGAAATACTATTTCACTGGGAGGGTGGTGAAGCACTGGAATGGGTTACCTAGGGAGGTGGTGGAATCTCCTTCCTTAGAGGTTTTTAAGGCCCGGCTTGACAAAGCCCTGGCTGGGATGATTTAGTTGGTGTTGGTCCTGCTTTTAGCAGGGGGTTGGACTAGATGACCTGCTGAGGTCTCTTCCGATCCTAATCTTCTATGATTCTATGAAACTGTAAACCCTATATATAATAGCAGCCACTTCAAGTCAGGGGGTGCTGCAGCACCCCGCACATCCGTAGTTCCAGCACCTATATCCTCCTGTGCAAACCCATACATTCTAGCTTTAACAACATTACATGCCAATTCTGAGACAGACATTGCAGGTAAGAAAACCTTCTTGATCTCTCACAACACGTGATCTATACAGCCAATAGGAGTCTGCTATAGGCTTTAAAAACATTAATTAGGGGCTAGATTGTCCTAGAAAGGTGTATATATAAAGAGGGTGTGTGCACCAGGGGAAGTGCCATCTCTTCCTGAGCTCTTCAGAATATTTTAGGATTAGCAGACAAAGCCCTGGTCTACACTATGAGTTTAGATCGAATTTAGCAGTGTTAGGTCGATTTAACCCTGCACCCATACACTCGACCAAGCCTGTTTTGTCGACTTAAAGGGCTCTTAAAATCGATTTCTGTACTCCTCCCTGGTGAGGGGAGTGGCACTAAAATCAACCTCCCTGGGTCGAATTTGGGGTAGTGTAGACACAGTTCGATGGTATTGGCCTCCGGGACCTATCCCAGAGTGCTCCATTGTGACCACTCTGGACAGCACTCTCAACTCCAAAGCACTAGCTAGGTACACAGGAAAAGCCCAGGGAACTTTTGAATTTCATTTCCTGTTTGGACAGTGTGGTGAGCTCGTCAGCACAGGTGACCATGGAGTCCCAGAATCGCAAACGAGCTCCTACATGGACCGAACGGGAGACACTGGATCTGATCGCTGTACGGGGAGAAGAATCCGTGCAGGCAGAACTCCGTTCCAAAAGACGAAATGCCAATATATTTGCCAAAATCTCCAAGGGCATGATGGACAGAGGCTACAACAGGGACACACAGCAGTGCTGCATGAAAGTTAAGGAGCTGAGGGAAGCCTACCAAAAGACAAAGGAGGCAAACGGTCGCTTCAGGTCAGAGCCCCATACATGCCACTTCTATGATGAGCTGCATGCAATTCTAGGGAGCGCCCCTACCACTACCCCACCACTGTCCATGGACACCTGCAAGGGGGGAGTCTCACGCAACAGGGATGAGGATTTTGTGGATGAGGAAGAGGAGGAGGAGGAGGATAGCACACAGCAGGCAGCAGAGAAACCGTTCTCCCCAACAGCCAGGAACTGTTTATCACCCTGGAGCCAATACCCTCCCAACCCTCCCAAGGCAGGTTCCCGGACCATGAAGCCAGAGAAGGCACCTCTGGTGAGTGTACCTTTGTAAATATAATACAGGGTTTAAAAGCAAGTGTGTTTAATGATTAATTTGCCCTGAAGACTTGGAATGCATTCGTGGCCAGTATAGCTACGAGAAAAGTCTGTTAACGTGTCTGGGGTTGGAGTGGAAATCCTCCAGGGACATCTCCATGAAGCTCTCCTGGAGGTACTCTAAAAGCCTTTGCAGAAGGTTTCTGGAGAGGTCAGCCTTATTCTGTCCTCCATGGTAGGACACTTTTACCACACCAAGCCAGTAGCAAGTAGTCTGGAATCACTGCAGTACAAAACATTGCAGCGAATGGGCCCGGGCTTTGGTAGCATTCAAGCAACATCTGTTCTTTATCTCTTTGTGTTAGTCTCAAGAGAGTGATATCATTCATGGTCACCTGGTTCAAATAATGGAAATTTGTTTAAGGGGACATTCAGAGGTGCCCGTTCTTGCTGGGCTGTTTGCCTTTGGCTGAAAAGAAATCATCCCCGCTGTTAGCCACATGGTGGGGGGAGGCTCGTTCATGCTGAGCAGTTTGCATTTGGCGGACAGGGATCTTCCCTGATACTAGCCACACGGTGGGGGGTGGGGGGACGGTGAAGTGATCATCCAAGAGAATGGGGGGGGCAGTTTTGGGTTGTGCTGCACATTCATCCTAAAACCGCAACCCCTCCTTTTAAATGGCTAACCCAACGGGCTTTGCTTGGTATGGGAAAGGAGGGCGCTGCTGTTTGAAACCATTCCCACATGTTATGAAGGTTGAAGAAGCCAAAACCCTTTGCCTTACCATGGCTGCCTGCAAGCCAAATTCTGTTGCCCAGCCGAGCATGTGTTATGTCTCACACCTACAGGCAGACCCTCAATGTAAGAGGCAAAATGCGACCTTGTACCACAAGCACATGTGCTATGTAATGTGAATTGCTTGATTCAGTGTGAAATAGTCTTCCCTTTGTTCTCTAAAATGTACCTATTTAAATACTGCTCTCCCTTTTTTTCCTCCCGCAGCTGCAAATGTTTCTATGCTCCCCCTATCGTCTCCATCCCAGAGGCTAGCGCAGATTAGAAGGCGAAAAAAACACACTCGCGATGAAATGTTCTCAGAGCTCATGCAGTCCTCCCACACTGAAAGAGCTCAGCAGAATGCGTGGAGGAAAACAATGGCAGAGACCAGGAAATTGTCAAATGAATACAATGAGAGGAGCGAGGAGTGCGATGAAGGGAGGCAGGATGCAATGCTGAGTCTAATGGGGGAGCAAACTGACATGCTCTGGCATCTGGTGGGGCTGCAGGAAAGGCAGCAGGAGCACAGACCGCTGCTACTGCCCCTGTATAACCGCCTGCCCTCCTCCCCAAGTTCCATATCCTCCTCACCCAGACACCCAAGAACGCGGGGGGGTGGGGTGGGGGGGGGAGGCTACGGGCACCCAGCTACTCCACCCCAGAGGATTGCCCATGCAACAGAAGGCTGGCATTCAATAAATTTTGAACTTTGGTGTGGCCTTGTCCTCCCCTCCTCCACCACCCCACCCGGTGCTTCCCTCCTCACCCACCCCTCCCGGCAGTTATCCCCCTATTTGTGTGATGAATTAATAAATAATGCATGATTTTGAAACAATAATGACTTTATTGCCTCTGAAAGCAGTGATCGAAGAGCGGAGGTCAGTTGGCTTACAGGAAAGTAGAGTCAGCCAAGGGGGCAGGTTTTCATCAAGGAGAAACAAACAGAACAGTCATACCGTAGCCTGGCCAGTCATGAAACTGGTTTTCAAAGCTTCTCTGGTGTGCAGGGTGCCCAGCTGTGCTCTTCTAATCAACCTGGTATCTGGCTGTGTGTAATCGGCCGCCAGGCGATTTGCCTCAACCTCCCACCCCGCCATAAACGTCTCCCCCTTACTCTCACAGATATTGTGGAGCACACAGCAAGCAGCAATAACAATGGGAATATTGGTTTCGTTGAGGTCTAACCAAGTCAGTCAACCCATCTGTACTTGTTTCCCAGGCCCAGAATCGGCGTTCCACGGCATGAACTTGCCCCATTACCACCATGTTGTCCACATTGCCGAGGCCCGTACTTTGAGAGAAGTCTGTGTCCATGTCCTCATCACTCTCCTCACCGCGCTGCCATCACCTCTTTGCCTGCTTTTGCAGGTGCTGATTCTGCATATACTGCTGAATAATGCACGTGTTGTTTACAACGCTCATAACTGTCGCGGTGATCTGAGCGGGCTCCATGCTTGCCGTGGTATGGCGTCTGCAGGAGACCAGAGTGGCAGCGGAAGTGGTGGATGACGACGGATGCCACAAGAATAGATATTTATACAGAACGATGGGAGGACCTGTGAAGTGGATTCATGGCACCAGCAGAGCAGAGTTGCAGCGGAAGCGGTGGAGGATGACGGTTAGCACCGCGCACATTTCCCGAGGAAGAACACAAGTACCCGGGAGCACATGACAGACAACATGGAGAAATTCGCTATTGAGACAAGAGCAGCAGAGCAGAGTTGCAGCGGAAGCGGTGGATGACGATGTAGGTTAGCAATCCTACTGCACTGTCTGCTGACAGCTGTTTGGCGTCTGCACGGAAAAAAGGCACAAAATGATTGTCTGCTGTTGCTTTCACGGAGGGAGGGGCGACTGACGACATGTACCCAAAACCACCTGCGACAATGCTTTTGCCCCAGCAGGCATTGGGAGCTCAACCCAGAATTCCAACGGGCAGCGGAGACTGCGGGAACTGTGGGATAGCTACCCACAGTGCAGTGCTCTGAAAGTCGACGCTAGCCTCGGTACTGTGGATGCACTCCGCTGACTTAATGCGCTTAGTGTGAACATACGCAATCATAGAATCATAGAATCATAGAATATCAGGGTTGGAAGGGACCCCAGAAGGTCATCTAGTCCAACCCCCTGCTCGAAGCAGGACCAATTCCCAGTTAAATCATCCCAGCCAGGGCTTTGTCAAGCCTGACCTTAAAAACCTCTAAGGAAGGAGATTCTACCACCTCCCTAGGTAACGCATTCCAGTGTTTCACCACCCTCTTAGTGAAAAAGAGGGTGGTGAAACAATTTCTAAAAATTGACTTCTATAAGATCAACCTAATGTCGTAGTGTAGACATACCCTTAGACTCCATTAGGGAACTGATAGGCAGAATCCCCTGGGAGGCTAATATGGGGGGGAAAGGAGTCCAGGAGAGCTAGCTATATTTTAAAGAAGCCTTATTGAGGACGCAGGAACAATCCATCCTGATGTGCAGAAAGAATAGCAAATATGGCAGGTGACCAGCTTGGCTTAACAGTGAAATCTTCGGTGAGCTTAAACTCAAAAAGGAAGCTTACAAGAAGTAGAAATTTGGACAGATGACTAGGGAGGAGTATAAAAATATTCCTAGAGCATGCAGGGGTGTAATCAGGAAGGCCAAGGCACAACTGGAGTTGCAGCTAGCCAGGGATGTGAAGGGTAACAAGAAGGGTTTCTTCAGGTATGTTAGCAACAAGAAGAAAGTCAGGGAAAGTGTGGGCCCCTTACTAAATGGGGGAGGCAACCTAGTGACAGAGGATGTGGAAAAAGCAGAAGTACTCAGTGCTTTTTTTGCCTCAGTCTTCACAGCCAAGGTCAGCTCCCAGACTGCCACACTGGGCAGCACAGCCTGGGGAGGAGGTGAGCAGCCCTCAGTGATGAAAGAGCAGGTTAAGGACGATTTAGAAAAGCTGGACATGCACAAATCCATGGGTACAGATCTAATGCATCTGAGGGTGCTGAGGGAGTTGGCTGATGTGATTGCAGAGCCATTGGCCATTATCTTTGAAAATTCGTGGCGATTGGAGGAGGTCCCAGACGATTGGAAAAAGGCAAATATAGTGCCCATATTTAAAAAAGGGAAGAAAGAGAAGCAGGGGAACTACAGACTGGTCAACCTCACTTCAGTCCCTGGAAAAATCATGGAGCAGGTCAAGGAATCCATTTTGAAGCACTTGGAGGAGAGGAAGGTGATCAGGAACAGTCAACATGGATTCACCAAACGTCAAGTTATGCCTGGCCAACCTGATTGCCTTCTATGATGAGATAACTGGCTCTGTGGATATGGGGAAAGCGGTGGACGTGATATATCTTGACTTTAGCAAAGCTTTTGATACAGTCTCCCACAGTATTCTTGCCAGCAAGTTAAAGAAGTATGGATTGGATGAATGGACTATAAAGTGGACAGAAAGCTGGCTAGATCATCAGGCTCAATGGGCAGTGATCAATGGCTCGATATCTAGTTGGCAGCAGGTATCAAGCAGAGTGCCCCAGGGGTCGGTCCTGGGACCAGTTTTGTTTAACATCTTTATTAATGATCTGGATGATGGGATTAATTGCACCTCAGCAAGTTCACAGAGGACACTAAGCTGTGGGGACAGGTAGATAAACTGGAGGGTAGGCATAGGGTCTGGAGTGACCTAGACAAATTGGAGGATTGGGCCAAAAGAAATCTGATGAGGTTCTACACGGACAAGTGCAGAGTCCTGCACTTAGGACGGAAGAATCCCATGCACCGCTACAGACTAGGGACCGAGCGACTAGGCAGCAGTTCTGCAGAAAAGGACCTAGAGGTTACAGTGGACGAGAAGCTGGATATGAATCAACAGTGTTCCCTTGTTGCCAAGAAGGCCAACAGCATTTTGGGCTGTATAAGGAGGGGCATTGCCAGCAGATCAAGGGATGTGATCATTCCCCTCTATTCGACATTGGTGAGGCCTTATCTGGAGTAGTGTGTCCAGTTTTGGGCCCCACACTACAAGAAGGATGTGGAAAAATTGGAGAGAGTCCAGCGGAGGGCAACAAAAATGATCAGGGGGCTGGAGCACAAGACTTATGAGGAGAGGCTGAGGGAACTGGGATTGTTTAGTCTGCAGAAGAGACGAATGAGGGGGGATTTGATAGCAACATTCAACTACCGGAAGGGGGTTCCAAAGAGGATGGAGCTTGGCTATTCTCAGTGATAGCAGATGACAGAACAAGGAGTAATGGTCTCAAGTTGCAGTGGGGGAGGTTTAGGTTGGATATTAGGAAAAACTTTTTCACTAGGGGGGTGGTGAAACACTGGAATGGGTTACCTAGGGAGGTGGTGGAATCTCCTTCGTTAGATATTTTTAAGGTCAGGCTTGAGAAAGCTCTGGCTGGGATGATTTAGTTAGGGATTGGTCCTGCTTTGAGCAGGGGGTTGGACTAGATGACCTCCTGAGGTCCCTTCCAACCCTGATATTCTATGAGTCTATGATTATCCAGCTGCTCCAGTCGTCCCACCATGTCTCCGAACCCCTTTGGGACAATGCACATCCCTGGGGCACATGAAGGAAGCAGCTCACTCCTATGCTCCCCTTAGTGCAGGGCCTGCTATTGTCTCTGCCCCTTGCGAAGGGGCCTGTCATGTATCAGTCCTTGGCAGAGCGCCCCCGAACAGGGACATGGGGAATGGATGATTTTAGATTAAGCATTTATCCGAAGGCATTACTGCAGCGTGATGCTGCTGTTTTTGAATGGCATCAGATTGTGACATGAAAGACAGAGGGTAAGAAAATGCAGCGGTCACTTGCCTGGCCCCCAACGACGGGTTCTTCCTCCACAGCGCGAGCCGCCCACAGAAGCAGTGGCAGCTCCATCAGCTTCTGCCACAGCTGGACTTGCTGCTGCTGCTGTGGCTCCTGGTGGCTGGCACTCAGCCCGTGGCTTGAGGCGGGCTCTGTGCTGCCCCATGGGGCTGCATCTTGCCGAGCCCACGGCCATCCCGCAGCCTGCTGGCCACTCCTGGCTCCCAGGGCGCCATCTCAGATTTGGGTGGGGAGTCAACTTTCTCCGTGATTCCAGGGGCTACTGAGGCACCTGAAAGCTCCAGTTGTTTTTGCAGATAATAATTTAGGAATTAGATGCTGATTTCACTGAACACACACAAACTCACAAGAATATTTCCATCAATCATAATTGGAATATACAGATAGGGAAACAAGAAAAACGCTGCTTGAGGACTTGTTAGCGTCAAAATCCAGTGATTTAGACTCTGAATTGGGCCGGTTAAAACCGGACAAGTGAGTGAATAGTTCAATCAACAAACCATTTCTGGTTTTAGGATATTTATTTTATATATCTTGACATGTGACATGGACACCTCGTGGTGTTCGTAGTCTTGTAGCCGCGTTGGTGCCAGGGTATGAGAGCCACAAGGGGGCTGAAGTAATATCTTCTATTGGACCAACTTCTGTTACTGAAAGAGACGAGCTTGTAAGCTCCACCGAGTTCTTCTCTGTGGGCCTATAAGCTCTGTGGAGCTCAAAAGCTTGTCTC